TCATTCTAAAACACCAAAAATCAGTCAAGTGGCACAAATGCTGACCGACTTCGACCGTGAGTGTGGAAAGGTTGGACTGCAGCTGAATCTCACGAAGACAATGTTCATGAGAAAAGGACTAGTTCCTGACTAGTTCATTCTCTCTCAGAGGAATGAACATCTCCGAATGCAGCAGTTATGTGCATAACAAGGTCAAGAACTCAACATGATGAATGACCTGGCACCTTAGTTGCGCAGGAGGAAGAGAGTGGCTTTCAGTGCCTTTAAGAGTGTTGAAAAAATAGCTAAGAGGACGAAGAGCCCCGGGCACAACTCTTTCACTCTACCATTCTTCCTGCATTAACATTGTCTTAGAGACCTGGACCCTATGAAAACAGGTTGAGAACGCTATTCTCCCAAAAAGTTACCGAAAGAGCTATGCTTGTAATATCACGCCACACTCAAGTGAGAGGAGGAATCTGGAGTTTCGACCTCCATCAATGATCAAGAATCAGGGATGCTGTCTCGTTTGTCAAGGCGTTGAAAATCAGATGGGCTGGACACGTAATGCGATTTGGAGACTGGGCTAGAGCCATTACCAACTGTATTCCACGAAATTTCAAAAGATTGAATGGCTGCGCACCTCCTAGATGGTCAGACTTCTTCGTCAAGACTCTGGACGATCAGTTTGAGGCTCTTTGTGTTCCTGGAGTGAGCAGACGCCATTGTGCTACAATAGCGTGCCACAGGGACAAATGGAGATGTTACTGGTACCCACTTGAGCAAATCGATGAGTAATGGGAGTCAAGTTCTCAAGTGATCAATGTTGGGCATTATGTAATATATATATATATATAAATATATATATAAAACAAAATCATCTGGTGATACAGCATTTTAAAATATCTTCTTTTGCCCCACATCCTAGTCCTAATTCACTATACTTTCTGCCTTTATGGATTTTTTTTTATCCTGTACAATTCACATAAATGAGGTCATATAATATGTGACCTTATAAATCTATTTTTATAGCACAGCGGGTAGGGCGTCTGCCTTGCACGCAGCCAACATGGCCGACCCGAGTTCGATTCCTCCGCCCCTCTCGGAGAGCCCGGCAAGCTACCGAGAGTATTCGATATGCCAGACACAGTAACAACAAAGTCTCCAATGGAGACGTTACTGGGCCCGCTCGAGCAAATCGACGATCAACGGGAGGGCCCTTTTTTACTTAGTATAATGTTTAAGGTAATTTATATACCAGTAATTTATTATTTCTTATAGCTAAAAAGTATTTCATTATAGTTAATACCACATTTTATTTTTTATTTTTATTGATTCATTGTCACTCTGTTTGTTACCCTCTTGAGAAATTATGAATAATGATTCAGAATGTATTATGTGTCAATTTTCATGTGGAACTATGTTTTCATCTACCTTCAGTACACAGCTAAGTGTTTATTGCTAGGCCATGCAGTATTTTTGTAACTTTTGAGTAATGATATTTTTATTTATCTAACTGATTCATTAGACAAAACATGTTTATAGACAAAACATGTTTATATTCTCATTTCCCTCTTTTCTTCACAAATAGTAACACATTGAGGGCTTGATATCCGAAAACACAGCTGTTAGGGCGCTTGCCTTACATACATGGTGAACTCAGGTTTATCCTTGGCATTCCATATGAACCCTTGAGCCTTGCCAGGAGTGCTCACTGAGCACAGAGCGAGAATTAGCCATGACTATCACGAGAAGTGGCCTCAAACCCCCCAAAACATATTATATACCTTGGTTTAGACTTTGTTTGTTATATTCTTTAAATCTTAAAACTTTATAATGCATTGTAGAAATCACAACAAAAAATAATTTTCAAATATTTTATATGACCACACAATAGTGTATTATTTGGAAGTACTATTTACACAGTAAGTCCTCTGATGATATTTAAATTACTTCCCATCTTTTCTGATTAAATGTTGTTTATAATGTTTTTATTGAATCATTGTAAGACAGAACCTTTCAAAGCTATTCATGATTAGATCAGTCATGCAGTGTTCCAACACCCATCCCTCAACAAGTGTACATTTCCCAGCACCAGTGCCCCCAGTTTCCCTTCCATCACCCCCGTCCTCCCAACTTTCAGCCTGCTTCTATGGCAGGGTTTTTTCTTCTCTGTCTCTGTGTGTCTCTATCTCTCTCCTGTTATTTTGTAACAACTAACATTGCACAATTTGTATTTGTGAAGGTCTATTTTGAAAGTACAGGCCTAAAATTAGAAAAATTGAATTAAAGTTAAGAGAATAGGCAGATATATTAGATATTGTCGAATTCCTTTCATCTAAGTTTGTCCTGTATTAACATAGTACATATAAATGAATGTCTTTTGGACCTTTTGGCTTAGGGATACATATATATATATATATATATATATATATATATTTAATTAAATCACCTTGAGAACAGTTACAAAGCTTTCAGGTTTAAGTCTTGGTCATACAATGATCAAACACCCATCCCTTCACCAGTGCATATTTTCCACCACCAAGAACCCTCATATGCCTCCCATGCTACCTCTCCCGGTGCCTGTGAGGCAGATGATTTCCACTAAACTCTCTTTCTACTTTTATTACATTCATTATTTTGACAAAAGATGCACCACTATTATTTGGAATTTTCCCCCAACAATCAAACCTGCTGAAAAGGCATCATGAAATAATTCGTTTACTATTGCCGGTTATGAAGAATATATGATGCCATGTGGCTGCTACTGCGGCAGTGCGATTTTTGATTTCTGATATTTTTCTAATTAAGTTGGGAGGGATTTTTGTCAAAAGCTGAATAGTTTCGAGATTGGTTTGTGTGCTTCTGGGTCCATGGCTGTTCTGGAAAGTCGCTTGTGGGGGGAATTTTGTGGTCTCAGCAGGGCAAGAAGGACGTGCCAGTTCCACCCCCCCCCCCCCCATCTTAGGGAATTTTTTATGTGTGAGATTTTCCAAGTGGTGATTAGAAGGTCCTTCCTCCAAAGGTACCATCTGTAATTTGATTTCTATTTTACTTATTAATTTTGTTTTTGAGTCCAAATGCAGCTGTGATGAAGGCTTACTCCTGGCTCTGTGCTCAGGGTTCACTACTGGAGGTGCTCGGGGAACCATATGTAGTACTAGGGATCAAACCAAGGAAATGTGCAAAAGCTAAGTGCCTTATCCATTGTACTATCTTTCTAGCCTTTGTGAATTGATTCTTGGCCAAGCTGGCAGGAGGTTTAGTGTAAAGGTCTGAAAATGTGATGAATATTACTCAGGCCCTGAAGTATCAGGGATACCTGGGCCATAACTGAAGGTGCTAGGGACCTACAGGGCTGCACCTATCAATTTTTGGGGAAGTATTTTGTGCCAGAAACAGAACCTAGGTCTGGTGCATACTATTCATGTGCTTAATCATTGTGGTATCTCCCATTCCCATTTTAGGGATTTCGAAAATCAACATTTCTGAAGTAAAGCAAATGAAAGTCCGTGGGTAAAGGTAGTTCCTCAATGCTAGCAAAAGGATATTCAATTGACTTTTTTTCCTCCTTTCATATACTGAAACTCTTAAGAAGTAATAAATATAAGAAACCTTCAAAAATTAATTCAATCCTCTTATTTTATAAATAAGCTAACATTGGCATAGAAATTAGAAAAACTTTACTTTAGGTCATGTGGCAAATTAGTGATAGCATTGACTCTTTTCCCAGGGTAATTCCAAATTAGTGTGCCAGTTATCTTAGGTACTGATTTTTTGTCTTTTACTGAGATCATCAGAAACAATATTTTGGGCAGAAATTCTTCTTTGGTTCTCAAATGTCCCAAAGTGAAAAAAGTTGTAATACATATAAAGTCCTTGCTAACTTTTCCTATTTCTATATATGATACTTATTTGTCATAGAAATCTAAACAATAAATAAATATATTTATGTCAAACTAGATCAGATCTTGGAGACATCTCATGATATGACAATGGAACCTGGATTTAAGAGGTTTAATAATGGATGAGAGAAGTGCATACAACTTCAAACTTTACCTTCATTAAGCTCCTCAATTTAGTTATTTAAGATCCTCTCCAAATGTGGTAAATATATATATCATCAGTGAATTTTTGTGAGTGTGTTGACAGCTTCATTTTGTTAAATATGAGATACTTAAGATGCAACACATTTTTATTATATCACTTCTTTACTTTTTAGTGTAACAGGAATTGCCTTGAGAGTGACCTACCCATGACCAAAAAAAAAAAAGTTAGCAGGAAAACTGAAATTAGAGTACAGGGTTGACAGAAAGCTTTCTGCTATACTATACTTTCTGCTTTCTAAGAAACAGCACCAGGTCAAATAATCTCACCTTTATATACAGTATTAAACTCTTTGCCTTTACACATAGAATGGGGCACACATGCCCCTTATACCTTTCTATTTTGGAGCCCAATACCAAACATATCTCTGGAATGCTATTGTCCTTATAGCCTACTACACAAAACATAAATAATGAAAAATAAAAAATAACTATAGTTTTATCAGGATTTCCATTTCATGAGAACCTTCTATGTGTCATGAAATTATCCTGAATTTACTGAAATTCATATAGTATAACATTCCTGTTTGGTTATTAATATTATTCTTATTTTCTATATGAACACAAACTTTATGAGAATATTTCCTAAAATTACATAGCTAAATAAGTTGTAAAGTTGGGATTCAAAAGAAGATTAATATGACAGCAGAGGCTGTGTTTAGTTCACTCTATCTGTTATTATTCCTGTATTGAAATAATCCATCAATTTAATTGCATAAGGACTTTGAGAGGAATTAAAAATGGGTGAAAGCAATATCACTTTTTTCACAGAAGAATCACATTAATCATAGCCTATCCGGGTTAAACAAACTGGAACTGGAATTTACTGAGTAGACAGGCTGCTTCTTGGCAGTCATTCCAGGTAGTCCAGTTTTCCAACCATAAGCTATTACTAAACATTCAGATACTACTTACTTGACCAAGTGTCTTATAAGAAGTTCCAGCATTTCTCGATTCTTTTCTGGTAGCTTATATACCAGGGAATGAATAGCTCCCAGACGGTAATCCAAATTGTCAGACTCTGAGAGAGATAGAGAGAGAAAGAGAGAAAAATAGAGAGGAGGGGGAGAAATAATGTGAGTTTTACCTTCTGGGGGACTGGATTAAGCAAATTCATAAGCACACACGCATATACTGAGAAAAAGGGACATAATAGGAGACAAATAGAATTAAGAAAGCAAAGAGAGCAAGGAAGAAAGACACTAAACTAAAAAGAGGAAACAACCAAAAGGACAAAAGAAAGGTAAAAATCAAAGAGACCTATAATGAAAGAAAACAGAAGAGACTACAGAGCTATGAGACTTCTTGTTTCAGAGGAAGTCACGTTCATTAATCTCCTCAATTTCTAGATAGAGCAGGTTGTGACTAAAGTTCCATATAAAAGCTTTCAAATAGAAACCCTTGTCAACATAATTTCTATAAGGTATTGGGAGATATGCGGTCTTTATTATTCTGTCAAAATTTCTGTGTTAGATAAGAGTAACTATTAAATAAACATTTGCTGAGTAAAGATGCATTTTGAGGACAAAAGCCTTGAATACTTTTCTAGTTTACCACATATGGTATATTATGTAGTGGCTTCAGTTCACAGTTTTTAAAGTAAAATAATTCTATTTGAAAAATTGCAGAGGGAGGGATCGAGAGAAACAGCAAGAGAGAGAGAACACATTGCAAGATATGACACAGGCAGCAAAGGATGTGCCTCAACATTTCTATTTTTTAGCTGTTAAAAATGGTATAGTTTTGGTAATCCTAGATGTCCTCTTCCCATATACTCCTCAACAAACACCCTGTTTTATTATCTAGATAAAATGTTATCATATTGGCAATAGATTAGGAATAATATTTAAAAAACAATTGTAAAACAATTGAAAAGGCAATGGAAAGAAAACCTGAAGACACTAATATAATGGAACCATTTGACAATCTACTGATAAATAAGCCAATGCCCTTGCTCTGATGGAATAAAATTATCAATCAATAAAAAACTTCAAATTGGTTACCTCTTTTCCAATTTTCTCCAGTCTGCACAAATAAAGTGAATTTTATGAGAAATAATATTATAGTGGATTGATATATAAAGTAAGAAAAATCTCATGTGACAAGGCACAATATCTGCATTATTTTTTGTTACCTGCCATTCAAAACAGCTTTCCCTCAATCAGCTTTCTGGGTTTATCATAGCAAAAATGTATTAAGAAGCCAGAGCAGCACAATTAACTAGTAATAAATACTTACTTGCTGCAGAGACCAGCTCTTTGTGAAGTCGATAAGTCATGACAGGTTCAGAAAGATTCCTATAATTAATAAACACTGTAAGTTTCTTTTGTGAGGTGCTAGCCAGGCACTAGATTTTTCAGTTCTGTGGGTATAATTCTGAAATTTTCTGAGTTCCACAACTTTATGTGACAAATCATTTTTCTACATAGTACTATACAGGATAGTTTAAAAAATTAGAATCATAGTTGCTATTAATAAAACAAAAGAACTGCAAAATTATGGGTCCAAACCTTCAACAAATGCTCCAGTTAGAGTTCAGTGAACAGAGGTAGTAATCAGTCCCAAAAACTTCTAATCTGGACCTACTCTTAAAGATCCTATGAAGTCCTTACAGTTTGTGTCTAGTTTCTCAATTTGGAAAGTGAAACTGCTTTTCAGAATTTCTTCCCATTTGATCTTAATAAGGTGAAGCATTAATTTGCATTGCTGTTTAATGGAGGAGGAAAATGATGCACAAATAGATTTTTTATTTAACCCCAAAATTATTAGCTACACTCTATTTACACTTGACATAGTTCCAATTATTTGTTCTCTTTCTAGATGAGTAACACACTTCAAGCAAATAGTCTACTTGAGGTTTTCATAAAAAATTGTAGTGAAACGGGACAAAAGTGGTGGTAAAGTAAAGGCAGGTGCTATATTGCTCAAAGTAATCAACAGCAACAAGAAGAAACTTCACTGTTCTGAGTGATTTATAAACATTTACTCACTTAATCCTTACAGTAACTCTGTAAGGCACATATTATTATTATTGTTCTATTTAACACTTGAAGAAAATGAGATCCAAACTAGTAATTCACCCCTTACCACATAATAACTAAGTAGCTGAATTAGACAGTTTATCTTAAGAACAAACTCCTAAATTATTGCATTACAGTCCTTGCCACTTTTATTGTTGAAGAACTACAGATAAGAGAAAACAAAGGATTAAAGAAAAATGATATCAGAAGCTAGAGGCAAATTTAATAAGGGCTATTTAAAATATATTAAAAACAGAGTTACTTCAATGAATGGGTAGGCTGACAAAGGAGAGAGTAGGTTAGATTCAGATACCAGATAGAATGTAGAGTGGAAATTTATTCAGAATGAATTTGAACGGTTGAGTCAGAGAGCTTCTGAAATAGACAAAGGGACCCCATCCAAAAATTAGTTAAGTACCCTTCTCATACTGAAAATTGGAAATTTAAACTATGAATCTAGGATGGTGCTAACAATTGAACAGGTAATACTTGCAAGGGATGGAAAATTGGCAGCCAATAGCTAAAGGCCATGGAAAATTTCTTATTTGTCCAAATAAGAACCAAAAACGGGTAATTCAATCAGTCACCAGAATATAAAAAATGGATCACACCTGCTGTTCTAAGAGCTAAGCTTAGAGTTTAGAGCTCTGTGCACATGGATTACTGCTGGGATTTGGGGGACCATAAATCCTTCTGTAGATAGAACCTAGGTGGACCCCATTGAAGGAAAGGCAAGCAAATGACATCATGTACTGCTTTTCAGCATAAAATATAAATATTTGATATATTTGGCCTAAAATTTAAAATTTCATGACTGTTTTATTTTTTAAAAATTATTTTAATGGATAAGAGAAAGAACACATGGAGGGTGCGGGATCCCGGAGGAAAAAAAAAAAAAGAAAAAACAGGTTCCAAAAAGAGCCAAGTTCACCCGCAAGTTCCAGATGGAGTAGGCGCCGCATCTCGCCTCCCCCAGATGGAACCCCGGTGACCAGAAGCCTCTACAAACACAGCTCGAGTATGCGGGAACGAGGACTTTTTCTCAAATCTGCCGAACTACACCTCCCAGGTAACCTCTGATTCCGGAAGGCATGCCCACAGCCCGCCCCCCAGCGCCATCTTTGAAGCCTTAAGCATAAGAGAAAGAACACATGGAGGGTGCGGGATCCCGGAGGGAAAAAAAAAAAGAAAAAACAGGTTCCAAAAAGAGCCAAGTTCACCCGCAAGTTCCAGATGGAGTAGGCGCCGCATCTCGCCTCCCCCAGATGGAACCCCGGTGACCAGAAGCCTCTACAAACACAGCTCGAGTATGCGGGAACGAGGACTTTTTCTCAAATCTGCCGAACTACACCTCCCAGGTAACCTCTGATTCCGGAAGGCATGCCCACAGCCCGCCCCCCAGCGCCATCTTTGAAGCCTTAAGCATAAGAGAAAGAACACATGGAGGGTGCGGGATCCCGGAGGGAAAAAAAAAAAGAAAAAACAGGTTCCAAAAAGAGCCAAGTTCACCCGCAAGTTCCAGATGGAGTAGGCGCCGCATCTCGCCTCCCCCAGATGGAACCCCGGTGACCAGAAGCCTCTACAAACACAGCTCGAGTATGCGGGAACGAGGACTTTTTCTCAAATCTGCCGAACTACACCTCCCAGGTAACCTCTGATTCCGGAAGGCATGCCCACAGCCCGCCCCCCAGCGCCATCTTTGAAGCCTTAAGCATAAGAGAAAGAACACATGGAGGGTGCGGGATCCCGGAGGGAAAAAAAAAAAGAAAAAACAGGTTCCAAAAAGAGCCAACTTCACCCGCAAGTTCCAGATGGAGTAGGCGCCGCATCTCGCCTCCCCCAGATGGAACCCCGGTGACCAGAAGCCTCTACAAACACAGCTCGAGTATGCGGGAACGAGGACTTTTTCTCAAATCTGCCGAACTACACCTCCCAGGTAACCTCTGATTCCGGAAGGCATGCCCACAGCCCGCCCCCCAGCGCCATCTTTGAAGCCTTAAGCATAAGAGAAAGAACACATGGAGGGTGCGGGATCCCGGAGGGAAAAAAAAAAAGAAAAAACAGGTTCCAAAAAGAGCCAACTTCACCCGCAAGTTCCAGATGGAGTAGGCGCCGCATCTCGCCTCCCCCAGATGGAACCCCGGTGACCAGAAGCCTCTACAAACACAGCTCGAGTATGCGGGAACGAGGACTTTTTCTCAAATCTGCCGAACTACACCTCCCAGGTAACCTCTGATTCCGGAAGGCATGCCCACAGCCCGCCCCCCAGCGCCATCTTTGAAGCCTTAAGCATAAGAGAAAGAACACATGGAGGGTGCGGGATCCCGGAGGGAAAAAAAAAAAGAAAAAACAGGTTCCAAAAAGAGCCAAGTTCACCCGCAAGTTCCAGATGGAGTAGGCGCCGCATCTCGCCTCCCCCAGATGGAACCCCGGTGACCAGAAGCCTCTACAAACACAGCTCGAGTATGCGGGAACGAGGACTTTTTCTCAAATCTGCCGAACTACACCTCCCAGGTAACCTCTGATTCCGGAAGGCATGCCCACAGCCCGCCCCCCAGCGCCATCTTTGAAGCCTTAAGCATAAGAGAAAGAACACATGGAGGGTGCGGGATCCCGGAGGGAAAAAAAAAAAGAAAAAACAGGTTCCAAAAAGAGCCAACTTCACCCGCAAGTTCCAGATGGAGTAGGCGCCGCATCTCGCCTCCCCCAGATGGAACCCCGGTGACCAGAAGCCTCTACAAACACAGCTCGAGTATGCGGGAACGAGGACTTTTTCTCAAAACCGCGCGGCCGCTTACGCGGCCGCGCGACATCTCTCTATATACAAAGTGATCAATGAGAAGTAAACCACCCAATCTTTCTCCCTGAAAGTCAGAGTTAAGTTTGGAGCACGGCCACAGCCCCAGAAACACAAGGACTTAATGCAGAACCCAGCAGCTTAGAGCAGAAAAGTGAAAGGACTATGCGTTAATCCAGGCCATCAAGTCTGCCGGAGGGGAAAGGGTGTTGCCCCATTCGCCCTCTCTTCTCTGGAAAGAAGGATGGCGGCCGCATGGGAGCCTTGTGGACAGCAGGTATGAGCCGGGGGTGTGGGGGCGACTAAAACCTCATGGGAAGGGGGGCGTTCCGGTCCGTCCTTCACGCCCTACCGAGGTCAACAGTTGCCCCCCACGAGCGGCTCTCCAGCACGGCCACAGCCCCAGAAGCACAAGGGCTTAATGCAGAACCCAGCAGCTTGGAGCAGAAAAGTGAAAGGACTATGCGTTAATCCAGGCAATCATTTCTGCCCAGAGGGGAAAGGGTGTTGCTCCCTTCCGCCCTCCTCCCTCTGGAAAGAAAGATGGCGGCCACATGGGAGCCTTGTGGACAGCAGGTATGAGCCGGGGGTGTGGGGGCGACTAAAACCTCATGGGAAGGGGGGCATTCCGGTCCGTCCTTCACGCCCTACCGAGGTCACCAGTCACCCCCCACGAGCGGCTCTCCAGCACAGCCACGGCCCCAGAAGCACAAGGACTTAATGCAGAACCCAGCAGCTTGGAGCAGAAAAGTGAACGGACTATGCATTGACCCAGGCCATCAAGTCTGCCGGAGGGGAAAGGGTGTTGCCCCATTCGCCCTCTCCTCTCTGGAAAGAAAGATGGCGGCCACATGGGAGCCTTGTGGACAGCAGGTATGAGCCGGGGGTGTGGGGGCGACTAAAACCTCATGGGAAGGGGGGCGTTCCGGTCCGTCCTTCACGCCCTACCGAGGTCACCAGTTGCCCCCCACGAGCGGCTCTCCAGCACGGCCACAGCCCCAGAAGCACAAGGGCTTAATGCAGAACCCAGCAGCTTGGAGCAGAAAAGTGAAAGGACTATGCGTTAATCCAGGCAATCATTTCTGCCCAGAGGGGAAAGGGTGTTGCTCCCTTCCGCCCTCCTCCCTCTGGAAAGAAAGATGGCGGCCACATGGGAGCCTTGTGGACAGCAGGTATGAGCCGGGGGTGTGGGGGCGACTAAAACCTCATGGGAAGGGGGGCGTTCCGGTCCGTCCTTCACGCCCTACCGAGGTCACCAGTTGCCCCCCACGAGCGGCTCTCCAGCACAGCCACGACCCCAGAAGCACAAGGACTTAATGCAGAACCCAGCAGCTTGGAGCAGAAAAGTGAACGGACTATGCATTGATCCAGGCCATCAAGTCTGCCGGAGGGGAAAGGGTGTTGCCCCATTCGCCCTCTCCTCTCTGGAAAGAAAGATGGCGGCCACATGGGAGCCTTGTGGACAGCAGGTATGAGCCGG